TGCTCTTTTATACTTCCGAGCATCCCGCCTATGACGTCATGGGCCAGGTGGGCCAATAGATTGGTGTTGTTTCACGCGTGCTTCAGACACCGGTCATGCAGGCTGCATTACCCAATGTAATGCATTACCCAGCGTCTTGTTCCCTCTCGGGGAACCATGGTTACATGCGTAACCCGAGACGTTTTATTTGGTTTTAGAGATTTTAGGTTTCTTTGTATCTTCTCGTTGTTTTGTCACAAAAGCTGGTTGTGGGAACAAATAGTAGTTTGAGGCAGGATCTAATTGCAGCGGTATATGGATTTATAAATCCAAACAAGGAGTATAGTGTAAATTATAGTTTTTAGGCAAAGACTAACAACACAAAACACAGCAAACCATCAAAGCTATGATGAAAACAGACAATGAAATGAAAAAACCAGAGGCTATTAAATACAATAAACAGAACAAGATAATGAACAAGCCACAGTTATAACACAAAAGGACTAATCAGTAACTTAGGAGACAAACTAGGGCATAATCAGAAAGAGGGGTGTGTCTGTATGGTGGCCAGGGGTGGCACCGGCCCCCACTGAATCTGGTTGGCCACCCCAGGTGTCCCCACCTACTAGATTTCTAACTCAATTTCTAACTGCATCTAGCAGTGGCAGAACCTGGCATGAGCAGCTGCCTAGAAATGTCCTCCTAAAACATCCTTCTCATTATAAATAAAGCATTTATTTAATCAAGCTTATTTAAAAGGCTCGTTTTGGATCCAAGGGGCAAGGTGACATCACCTGGGTCGTTTGCATAAACACTGCCTGTAGAGCAAGACATCGACGAATAGTCTTCTTTGAACCATAGGCCCCGCCCACTGGTGTTCATTCGCTTAACGTCTGACATGTCACATCAAAAGCAAATAGAAATTACAGTCACTGCCACTATCTTGTCTATACTGGATACAATATAGAGATGCACATTCATTTTCTGACACAGTCCACGCATTTGAGTCTGTCAATAGGACAAATGGAGTGAAAGAACATTCGCTTTGATGCGTTTGGTCTAAACAGCTCTTTGCATCTACAGTATATACAGATATCAGAAGGATCCCAGCGTAAGTAACAAGTGGATAGTTCATTTTTAATGGCGCCCCGGATCGAGTCAGAGGATTGATCGGAGCATTTCGTATTGTAAACGCACAGTGTATACACACATCCTCAGTGTATTGGCACAGTGGCATGGAGAATTCACAAAGAAACATTTGTTGAAAGATGAAGTGGTACTAGATCTGACTGCAGCTGCATCACAAACTGTAAGTTAATGATTTAATAATGCTTTGTCTGGAAATGACTGTTTTAATTTTATTATGTTGTCAAAACACACATGCAGTAGTGAGGGTTGATACTGTTTCCTATGCAATGACGTTAGCCAATCATAGCAGTGGCTGAATACTGAGAAGCCTTAAAGGACACGCCCCTTAAAAACGGGTCGTTTTAGAGAGAGGGTCAGAATGAGTGTTGAAAATAATAATTTTTCCACATATTTATTTATTTATCTGTGGAAAAACTTTAATAGCGTTATAAGTAATCCTTAAGCATTTGCGCTTCGGGTGTCCCGAATTCGAATCCCGCTTCATGGACCTTTCCCGATCCCGTCCCCCTCTCTCTCTCCCACTTGCTTCCTGTCCTATCAAGAAAAATGAATACACACACCCAGAGCATCCTTAAAAAAGTTCCTATAGATTGTGCGAAGGGTCATACTGTACACATGAAACATCATCAGAGTAACACAAATAACAACAGTGAAATAGTAATACATAAAAATGAACTAAATATAAAAAATGTAACACAACACACTTTAATGTACATTACTTATGATAAGAATAAAAATAATCAAAACTTACATAAAATACCATCATATGTCATGTGTCACACAGGGACTTCTGGGAGTGTACTTTTATTGTTTTTCATAGTCATTTATAGTGTAATTCATAGTTGCAAAAAAAATTGGGGGGAAAAAAATGATAGTATTTTACAATAAAATTACATATAATGGGATGTTTTGCCCTTTATTTTCATTGTATAACTAACTAGGCCTTTATAACTAGGCCTAGGTCTATTATGTCTTCTAAGATAATTAAACAAATGCATTCAGGGGGACAAGGCAAAAACTGCTTTGGCCAATACACAAAGCACATCACCGATAAAGGATAATATAACCTAGAGAAGGAAATTAAAGGTGTTGACTGAGACAAGGTTTTAGAAGAGCTAAACACTGAACTCTGGCATGTCTAGAATGCTGCTGTACATAAGAAACAGCTGGATACATATTGGTAGAAAGATATTTCTTTTAAGTGCACAAAGCACCTGTTAGAAGCCCGTACACCTTGTGCTTCAGTTTATTTGCTTATTTTTGCTTATATTTGCCCAATGCTGCTCATCTTGAACCATCACTGAATATTAATGTGCCTTAAGGTAAAACTGGCCTCAAACATTCACACTTCAACAACTTTGAACCAAGTTATCTGAACATTAGTTATTTTAAAGAGCAGGTTGCTTTCAATAAAGACTAATAAGCAAAAAGAATTTGCTACATAAATAATAGATTCATTGGCAGACTGACTCCAAACAATATGGAAAAGCGCATATATCTATAACAGAGCATGTTTTAGATTCCTGTAGTGCCATTCTTCAGGAACATCCTATTGAACTGCAGAGCTGAACACTACATGTATAATACATGAATTATCTTCTTTTCTGCTTTGATTTTCAGCTTTCACCTGCTTAAGGTCCAATCTGAGAGTTTTTTTTTTTTTTTTGAAGGTTAACCTTATTTAATTTGATCAGGGGATAAAAAAATGAATGCTGTATAGGAAGCAAACAGTGGTATACTTTATGTTTAATAATTCCGTTTTATTAGCTCAGCACTGAAAAAATTCAAGAATTTACCTCAAATGTCCTTCTAAAATACACAGGGGAAAATATTGTGTTTTTAACATTTCTGTTACTGCTATAGTTTCATTACAGCCCACTGTTATAAAAGCCTGTTGCCCATGGTTTAACACACTCTTTTCTGTCACTTTTCCCAAATGTAACCGAAAATGAAGGAAGCTGAGAAACATAAACAAGACCAACTAATAAATCTACTGCATGGAAGAAGTAGATTGAAGAATGTTATTTATAATATAAGAATCGTCTTTGTGTCAGGCTTTCATTGAGGGTAAGCTTTTATGGGATTTAAAGGTAAGGTTGTTGTGCCCCCTCCTGGAGTTAGTTGGATAGCACAGCCCATTATTACATATAAAATACACTCACCGGCCACTTTCTTCACAGGTACACCTGTTCAACTGCTCATTAACGCACATATCTTAATCAGTCAATCACATGGCAGCAACTTGATTCATTTAGGCATGTAGACATGGTCAAGACAATCTGCTGAAGTTTAAATCAAGCATCAGAATGGGGAAGAAAGGTGATTCAGGTGACTTTGAATGCAACGTGGTTGTTGGTGCCAGATGGGTTGATCTGAGTATTTCAGAAACTGCTGATTTACTTTGATTTTCACGTACAACCATCTCTAGCTTTTACAGAGAATGGTCTGAAAAAGAGAAAATATGCAGTGAGAGGCAATTCTGTGCCTTGTGGATGCCAGAGGTCAGAGGAGAATGGCCAGACTGGTTCGAGCTGATAGAAAGGCAACAGCAACTCACCATTCATTATGATGGAGGTGTGCAGAAGAGCATTTCTGAATGTACAAAACATCAAACCTTGAAGCAGATGGGCTACAGCAGCAGAAGACCACACCGGATGCCACTCCTGTCAGCTAAGAACAGGAAACTGAGGCTACTATTCGCACAGACTCACCAAAACGGAACAACAGAAGATTGGAAAAAGGTTCCCTGAGTCTCCATTTCTGCTGCGACATTTGGATGGTAGGGTCATGGACAACATGAAAGCATGGATCCATCCTCACTGCCTTGTAGTTCAGGCTGGTGCTGGTGGTGTAATGGTGTGGGGGATATTTCTTTGCCACACTTTGGGCCCCTTAGTAGCAGTTGTGCATTGTTTAAACACAAGTATTGTTGGTAATTCTGTCCATCCCTTATTGTCCACATCTTGTGATGGCTACTTCCATCAGGATAATGTGCCATTATGTCACAAAGCTCAAATCATCTCAAGCTGGTTTCTTGAACATGACAATGAGTTCGCTAAACTCAAATGGTCTCCACGGTCACCAGATCTCAATCCAATAGAGGACCTTTGGAATGTGGTGGAAGGGGAGATTTGCATCATGAATGTGTGAATTAGTTTTGTTTTTTTGTTTTTTGTAAATAATGCACAACTAGTCTGCATGTGACCTTTTAGTTTCAAAACATTTCCCAGAGAATTCAGCCTCCACTCTCCTCTGAACTCTTCCCTCACATGAGTATGTTCTCTTTATTAAAGGTCCAAGTGAAGGAATGCACATTTTATGGAGGACTGTTTCCTGGAAGAGTAGACTACAATGCCTCAAAGCTCAAATCATCTCAAGCTGGTTTCTTGAACATGACAATGAGTTCGCTAAACTCAAATGGTCTCCACGGTCACCAGATCTCAATCCAATAGAGGACCTTTGGAATGTGGTGGAAGGGGAGATTTGCATCATGAATGTGTGAATTAGTTTTGTTTTTTTGTTTTTTGTAAATAATGCACAACTAGTCTGCATGTGACCTTTTAGTTTCAAAACATTTCCCAGAGAATTCAGCCTCCACTCTCCTCTGAACTCTTCCCTCACATGAGTATGTTCTCTTTATTAAAGGTCCAAGTGAAGGAATGCCAAATTTCACAAAAAAATCAACCTGATCTAATAAATAAAGCAATCCCAGTTGTTCTGCTTTAGGTAGAAGGTAGTAAATGAATAAAATAGAATTAAATATTCTTAAATGGTAACACTTTATAATAACTTTCATTAATAAATCATTAACAAACATTATGTAATGCTTAACAGATTATTAGTTCATATATATTCACATATCTAGAAATGTGAAATAATGTGCTTGTTAATGTTTACTAATAAATGTATTAAACATTACCTAATAATTAACATTTCGTGTCAATTAAAATGCTTACAAATGTCATGTAGCATTTGGACCAATCAGACACACAACTATTTGGTATATTGAACAAATAATCTCTAATGCCCCCTTCACCTAACCAAAGGGCCAACTATGAGGGTCTATGGACCCTTCCCCCGAAATGCAACTAACACCTCAAAAGGGCAGAACAGGCCTCTGGTTCCATGGCAACCAAAGACAAACCTTCTGATAACACTAGTTTGATTTCTCAAAGGAATGCGGGCAGAGCACAACTCACAATTAATTAAAGTAATGGGGATAGGGGGCATCCCTGGCGTGTACCCCGTGATAAGGTAAAATACTCAGAGTTAACACTGTTAGTAGAAACTGAAGCTTGTGGGTCAGCATATAGTAGACGTATCCATGATATCAATCCCTCCCCAAAACCGAACTCCTCCAGAACTCTAAACAGATAATCCCACTCTATCCTATCAAATGCCTTTTTGGCGTCTTAACGAAATGATCACTTCAGAGGAAACACTATTTTGTCTTGAGTATAAAATATTAAAAAGAGTACGAATGTTAGAGAATGAATACCGTCCTTTAATGAATCCAGTTTGTTCCTCTGAGATAATACTAGGAAGTACTGCCTCTAAACGAGAGGCCAAAATCTTGGCTAAAATCTTAACATCAACATTGAGGAGGCTAATAGGTCTGTATGAGTTACATAATGTTGGGTCCTTCCCATCTTTAGGCAATAGAGTTATAGATGCTTGTCTCAGTGTTGGGGGCAACATACCTAGATCTAAAGCTGTTTGACATGAAATTTCTTATAAAATTCGGAAGGCAACCCGTCTGGTCCAGGGGATTTCTTAGATTGCAACGAATTAATTGACTTAGTGATCTCCTCTAAGATGATGGGTCCATCAAGTTCAGGCACTAAAAGAGGATCAACCCTAAGGAAGTTAATACGCCCGTCGGGCTATGGGCATATTGGTCATCTAAAGCTTGAATACTGTTAGATAACTTTTTTATCCTATTCCTCCGTTCTTTATTAACATAAGCGCTGTGGCCACGGAAATATCCTTTTCTAGAGTTGATATGAACTTACACTGAATGTTCGCTGGACGAACAGATTGGTTGATGGCAATTTAATTCTGCTACAGTTACTACTGGCAGCTGATATAAATAATTGTAATTAATCATAATTAACTGTAATTATTTACATACATTTTCCTTTTGAGCTAATTTGCTACAGTCATTAAACTTCTAATTCATATGATCATGCACATCTTGAACATCTACAAATGATTTTAATAGATGTTATACAATGATTAAAAGCTTTTGTTAATGCACAACACCTTTGCTGTTGTTGAGGTGTGATACAGGTAAGGTTAGGGACAGGTTTGATGGTATGGGTAGGTTTAAGTTTGGGTAAGGTGTCAACAAGTGTACAGGGGTCAATTTGATTACTATCTGTTTATATTGCATTGTTTTGACAAATTAAGTATTTTCTTGAAAATTTTTCCCCCTCCTGTTGATGTATGACTCAAGGAATATTCTGTATAATGATACACAATAGTATACTACTATAAGTGTTGAGGTGATAAAAACCCAAATTACAATGTGTCATATGTCTTTACCAAGCATTTAGCTAAATTTAACTAACCACCCTTAACACAAACGTTGTTAAAGTAGCTAAAAGTCCAGTGCCAATAAAGATACTAAAAAAAATAGTAAATGTTTATAAACATTTACAAAAGGTGAATAGTCTCCACTTTAGATTGGGTACTGCAAAAACATGAACACAATTTAAATGATTTGTAAAGATGTGAAAATAGGCTGAATTCCGGTCATTTGGGACACTTTTTGCCATCAAAATGACTGCTCATAAAGATACTAATGATTAGTAAATGTTTATAAACATTTACAATTGATGAATAGTTTCCACTTTAGATTGGGTACTGCAAAAACTTCAACAAATTATTTATCAATTATTTAAGATGTGCAAATAGTAGGTCAACACAACAAACAAAGCCAAATATATGACCTTTACAGACTGTGATTATGAGTTAATGAATACATTAACATGAATAGTTTGTGAAGTGCCTATAAGCTATATTTTCACAACATTTGTAAATGTAAAAATGGGCATTATCTAATATGTGAACTGAAGTTTAATTACATTTGTAAGCATTCAAAAGTACATTAACAAATAAGCTTGTAAATATTGTACAATTTCTATAAAAATCATTTGTAGATTTTTAAAACGCATTGAAAGTTGAATGACATTTGTAAACATTAACTAATGATCCGTTAAGCATTATATAATGTTTGTTAACGATTTAATAATGAAGCTTTAAATCATTGTAAAACATCTGTCAAAATCATTTGAAGATTTTTTTTTTTAAATCCATGATCATATGAATTGAAAGTTTAAAGACATTTGTAAGCATTTCAATTTACATTCAATAATGATCTGTTAATCATTTGGTAATGTTTAATAAGTTCATTAGTTAACATTAACAAGCACCTAATCTCATATTTCTAGATATGTGAATATATATTAAGTAATGATTTATTAATGAAAGTTATTATAAAGTGTTACCATCAGTTTTACATTATCAGATGGGGACTTCAAGGACAAAAAGTTAGGAACCACTGATTTATAGTGTCAAAAGTATCATTAAAGACTAGAAACAGAGATAAAGCCAGTCAGACAGAAGCAAGCAATCTGTTGCAGCCACTGAAGTGAATAACATTTTTTTCTGCAAAGTTTCAGCATAAATAATTTGAAATAACTCATTTGAGCATGATGATCAAAAGTTGGTTTCTTTATAAACGATTGAAAGTATGCCAGTTCAAAAAGTCATAAGAATATATCCTGAGGGTAGGGTTATTATTAACCCTACCCTCAGGATATATTCTTATGCCTTTTTAATATTTGTTCATTTACAAGCAGCTCTTTTTAGGTGGTAACTTACAACAAACTGCTTTCATCCCCCTTGTAAGTCATCTCCTTCCTTCCTCAATCATCAGTCAAATATATGTATGAAACAACAAAACACTCAGACCCCTCTAGCATACTACTATAGGTCCTTATAGGCAGTTGCCCATGGCATAATATACTTTTTTATTTACATTTTCTTATATCAAAACTGTATTTTTGCATTGTCTGAAGGAAATGTGGGTAGGAAATCATCCTACATGTAACTTTTTTAGCAAAAAACAACTGCTCATAAAACTCTGAAATGCTCCTATGGATAAAATCATTTTCATTTGGGTCATTTTCTTTGCATTCTGTTCAGCAGACTCAGACAAAAAACATCCAGTACAGTTTTTACATTTTACCTTAACCCCCTCCCTTTCATTTTTACCCACACCACACCCCTGCCTAGTATCCTAAAATGAGTTACAAATCCTCAAAAGTCAGGACTAAATCCTCTCTAAGTCTTCAGCTGTTAGTATTAATATACATATTCATATAATGTTCATATAAAATTACATACTAACTAGTCTGAAGATATTTTCACTCTCGCAATATATCTGTATAAACCACTACTTAATAACAACAACAGCTGCACTATTTTAAAATGGAGGGTAATTTTATAATGGTTAGCAAATGTGCGGTATGCATACAACAGCTGCATTTCTAAAATATCCACTTCGCATTTAAGCTGTTGTTTATACAGTTAAGTTGCTCTCTGTATAGGAAGAGTGAAAATGTCTTCAGAGTTAGTATGAAACTTTGTTTGAACTTTATCTTTATATAAAGATAGAAATTTGTACTATCAGCTGAAAACTTTAGTCCTGACTTTTCGTGTTCCAGACTAATTTCAGGATACTATAGGCACAGCTTGATAAGTAACCTGATATGGTATGCAAGTACCATGAGAAAAACAAAGAATTTCGTTGGTACCCCTCCCTTCGCCTGGCTTTTTTCTTCTCTTTCTCTGGCAGCAGCCCACCCTATTTAAACCAGTGCCTTGTCCCACCCTGTGCTGAATCTGAACCTGAAGCTTGACCTGTTTGGAAACAAAATTGATGGAGCTTGGAAAAATGGATACATCCCGCAGGAATGAGCCAACTTATCTTGCCTGGTCCATCGTCAACACTTTTTGTTGCTGTTTGCCACTTGGCATTGCAGCAATCATCTACTCATGCAGAGTAAGTAACTTACAATTCATTTTATTTACAGCTCTTATAAATAAATGAAAAAAAAAAATGGTGCATATGCATTCTGTGCTTTTATTAATATTATTACTATTGTAGGCAGACAATGCAAATTCACTTGGAGATGCTGGAAAAGCTCAAGAGTCCTCCAGGATAGCAAAGAACCTGAATATTGCTTCACTGGTGTTTGGACTGATTGGATTAATTATGGTGATTGTAGTTGTGGTGATTCGAAGCTCAAACATGTAAGCAACATAACCATATGTTTGTGATGGAATTTTTATTTTTTTATTTTTTATTTTTTTTTGGTCCTTGCTATTCAAACAACACTGCAAACTATGAACTACACCACTCAACTCTACAGATGATGAAGACCAGCTGTGGCTTGAAAATCGAATAAGCAATGATAGCCACACGATGTTTTGTTTTTGGGGTTTACTCAATGTTCAGAAGTTTTTTATTTTTATTTTTTTAATTTCCTTTTTGTTAAGTCCTTTTCATTTTATTTTGCATATAAGTGAAATGTTCATGTGAATTCTGTTTTATGCCAAATAATATCATAAAATGTCCTTCATTTTAATTAGTGTAGTATTTCACGATTCAGTGCTATGAATGCAAAGTACTGTAATCACATAGCTACTATATTAAACATTTACATGGAAAATGTAACTGGTAAATGGCTTATGTAATGGTTTTCTGCATTTATGTATTAATGGTTTTCTCAATTTATGTTCAATATATATATATATATATATTACACATGAGTATTACATACATAATAAATAAGGCGTACAAAATACTTTTGTCAAGTACTTCTCCTTTATACATAACATTTTGCCATGATACTCAAGTCTGTATTTGTTTTTACTTCACTACATCAACTTTTATTAAATGTCATTTCATCCTTAAAAATAGTCGTTTTGTTTAAAATTTCCATCACAGTGCACAGAAGTGAGGTCATAAATATTTCTGTTATATGAGATCACAGGTCAGATAGTTCTGGTGGTTCTGGTTAGCAACAAATGAGTTTATTGTAACAGACTCATTGTCAGAGATCTAGTAGTCAACAAGTATTTCCATGTGAACGGATGTAAGAGAGGGGCATATTTAATGTCTGTTGTCACTCTGTTATAGACTCAGCATGATAAATTGTATGCTGTGCTCTGAAGTCAGTTTTACTAGAGTTTAAAGGACACAGTTTTATGTAAAAGTTCACTTTTTCTTAGTGTGAAGAACATTTTATATAATCTGAAAACATGTTAGCTGTAAAGAAGCTGAAAAGGTTTCATGAATGTTCAAGGTTCTTCATGGAACCATAGATGTCAATAAAGAACCTTTATTTTTAAGAGTGTAGATAAGATCTGCTTGATACACTCAGAACATCATCAAAAAGTCCGTCCTTTAACACTCCTGATGATTGTTTTGGTCCAAAAGCCAACCAAAAATAGGTGTTTTATACATTGTTAAAATGAAAAGTTACATAACCTCCACTTGCAAACCCCCCACTCCTCCTACATTTCTGTTATGCTATTGGATTTTCATGAGAATAGGGAGTGTCTACTCCTTTAGGATTGTAACCAAATTCCTTACAATCCTAAAGCTGTTCCAGATGTGTAGTATATTGTGTATAACATACTTTTGAGGGCCATAAATAAAGAACCTTTATTTTTAAGAGTGTAGATAAGATCTGCTTGATACACTCAGAACATCATCAAAAAGTCCGTCCTTTAACACTCCTGATGATTGTTTTGGTCCAAAAGCCAACCAAAAGTAGGTGTTTTATACATTGTTAAAATGAAAAGTTACATAACCTCCACTTGTAAACCCCCCACTCCTCCTACATTTCTGTTATGCTATTGGATTTTCATGAGAATAGGGAGTGTCTACTCCTTTAGGATTGTAACCAAATTCCTTACAATCCTAAAGCTGTTCCAGATGTGTAGTATATTGTGTATAACATACTTTTGAGGGCCATACATACTCATCCCTCGAAGTACATTTAATTGTTTTCTTAATCATTATAATCAAATGGAAGTTGTTGTATTTTTCCCTAAATTAGCCACCAGTGAAATCATGAAAACTGCTAACATTGAAAAAAGTTTTTCATGGATTATTAGTCAAAGGCTATTTAAATTTTTTATTTGTTATTATGCAGTATGGAGTGTAGATCAGTGATTTAAAGGGCTGCATTTTATCATATGCCAGCAGCACAACAATATCTGAAAAAATGAAGGAGTCTGAATAATTTCTGAATGAACTATAGAAAATCTGAAACTGTTGTCAAAAGTATGCTAAACAAGATCCTGCATGTAAGGATTACCAGTAAGGACCATGTAAGGATTATTTTGTAATAACAACTGAGCGACTGTACTACTGACGCAAGCAGCCATGTAATAAATGGGATCATGTACAGTCTGCCGATTGTTATTACAATACCAGTCCTTACTGGGTGATTAAAAGATTGACTTTTCGCCAAGGCAGACAATGTTCAAACCAAACAAACATTTAAGGGGAAATGTAGTCATCCTGTTTATTACATGGTTTCTCACCAAATAAATAATTACATACATGCAATAGTGATTTGAGTTAAAACTGTTTTAAAATCGTACCTGTATATGACCATAATGCTTGGCTGTGTGACATCATATAGACCCAGGCCCCTCCCACGATCGTTGATTGACACTTGCGTTTTACCTTAGACCCGCCCTGAGTCTGCTGTCATCAGTTTGCCATTGTTTTGACGCCAGAGAAGGAGTAGACAAGAATGTCTCCTAAGCAATTGAGGTGTTTTGTTGTTGGATGTAATAATGAACATAGCAGTTATCATTTACTCCCGACATCTGAGCCGCTGAAGACGCAGTGGATTACTTTTGTTTTTTAAGGGAATGCGCTCCGATCTACCTAAATGCGTCTATGTTCGCACGAATCATTCGTGATCCAGCTTCACTTACAGAAGTGAGTGTAAGGTTCTTTTATGAATCTTTGCTAATCGCCTTTCCTAATAACGTGCTAGTTAGCAAGTTTCGCGGCTAAAGTAAACAGTCTCATGGGGAGGTCCCACATGTCGTTGCCCAGTCTAGCTTTTCAAGTAAACAGAGGAGCACATTGCTCAGCACACAGGGAGATCTCAGAGTGGTAGCTTTTCCTGCCAGGCCAGTCCTCACAGACCTCCCATTCCTCTTATCCATTGCCCCCCATCGAGCTCCCAAAGGAGGTCAACGTGCTGTCTCGTGGTGGTCCGACTGTTTCATTCGGGGCTCCTGAGGAGAATCAGATGTCGATCATGGCATTGGATGAAGGGTCAGGCTCCTCAGGTGATGACCACTCAGCTGAGCTTCCCACCTCCGGGGTGGTTGCGAAGTCAGAGTCTGACTCTGAGCTGACAGGCATGCTTGCCTGGGCAACCAAGAGTAATGGGCTTGAGTGAAAGCCCTCCACCCAACCCAGATCATTCTAGACTGGATGATGGCACATTTTTCTTTCAAAACCCCCATCTCAAAGGCTGGCCTTTTCAGTGACACTGTCAAGGACTATGCCAAGCAGTCCAGAAGCAGAAGCAGGCAGAGACCATCAAACACATCCTGCTGCCACCAAGCCACTGTGGGCTGGCCCTCAGTCTGCTGCTCATCGCCGAATGCATAACCCCTGTGGCGACTACATCTGTTCTGGCGCAGTCTGACATGGCACCTCAGCAGCACTACTTCTTCCTCAGAAGAGGGCAGGGCGGTGAATTTTTTGTTTCTCTTATTTTCTGTTCTACCAAATTATCAATGACAGAGCAGTTTCCTCAGTCTCTGGGTCATACTCAATGCAGTCTGGCAGTGAGCCATGTGCCATTTCCTCACTCCCAGCCTCGTCCTCCCTTTTTGCCACAGGCCATGAGGTCACGTTCTGAGGACAGTCCCTTGCGGGATCCACAGAGCTGGTTAAGTGCTACTCCACACTCACCACCTGGTTATAATCAATCCTGGATCTGTGAATCTTGAATCGGGCCCTGCACAAGGTGTTGATACAGAAGTGCATTCTTACATGCATACAGGCCCCTAGACTGGTTTGCAACGATCAACCTGAAGGACATGTACATCCATGTCTTCCATCTTGCCTAAACACAGACTGTTCCTGTGGTTTGCTTTCGAGGGTCGGGCGTACCAATACAAAGTCCTCCCCTTTGGGCTGTCCCTGTCGCTCCATGTCTTCACCAAAGTTGCGGAGAGTGCGTTTGCCCCATAAGGGAAATGGGAATCTGTATTCTCAAATATCTCAATGACTGGCTAATTCTAGCTCACTTTCAAGATCTGTTGTGCAAGCACAGGGATCTGGTGCTCTGGCAACGCAGCCAGTTGGGGCTTTGGGTCAGTTAGGAGAAGCGCAAGCTCTCCCCTGTGCAGAGTATCTGTTTTCTCGGTATGGAATTGGACTGGGTCAACATGAAGGCACGGTTCACGAATGGGCGCATCCAGTCAGTGCTGAACTTCCTAAATTCATTCAGGGGGAAAACAGCAGTTCCACTGAAACAGCTTTAGAGGCTCCTGTGGTATATGGTTGGCAGCCGCAGTGACACCACTCGGATTGACACATGACACATGAGATGGGCGGGAGTACCCTTAGAACAAGATTTCAGACACATTGTTACTACAACAGATGCCTCCAGAATGGGCCCGGGGCATCGTGTCCAACAGGCATGCAGTCTTGGGCTCCTGGACAGGACCTCATCTGCAGTGGCATATCAATTGCCTCAAGATGCTGGCAGTGCCCACCATCTCCTCCTCTGGAGTCAGGTGTGGCTCAAGTCGCTGTGTGCCATTCATAGTTTGGGAGAGCTCATTCATGCAGCTGACATGCTTTCACGACAGAGCACACTCCCAGGAGAATGAAGATTACATCCCCATGTGGTCCAGTTGATATGGATTCAATTTGGGGACACTCGGGTAGACCTGCTTGCAGGGGCGTGTCTAGA